AGAATCGGTCCACAGGATTCTGAAATATGACGTTGGATAGACTGACGCAGGGACAGACGGACACACGGACGGACGGTCGGATTGACAGACTCAGGAACTCATGGACGGTCGGGGACATGTATCCTAACATGTATGATCTATGTAGTAAATTTGAATGAAAACTGACAAAGCATGTCCAAAATACGACATTTTCAAAAAACAAGATGGCTGCCAGTCAGCCATCTTTGATCCACTTGTGAAATAAATCATCATGGACATGTATCCTAACATGTATAATCTATGTACCAAGTTTGAATGAAAACTGACAAAGCATGTCCAAAATACACCATTTTCAAAAAACAAGATGGCTGCCAGTCGGCCATTTTGAATCGAATCGCTAAACCACTGCATGTGCATATGTCCCTCATAAGGTACTAGGCACATGCAAAGAATGAACAGAATCGGTCCACAGGATTCTGAAATATGACGGATAGACTGACGCAGGGACAGACGGACACACCAACGGACGGTCGGGCGGATGGAAAGACTCAGGAACTCATGGACGGTCGGGGACATGTATCCTAACATGTATAATCTATGAACGGAATCGGTCCACAGGATTCTGAAATATGACGTTGGATAGACTGACGCACGGACGGTCGGGGACATGTATCCTAACATGTATGATCTATGTACTAAATTTGAATGAAAACTGACAAAGCATGTCCAAAATACGACATTTTCAAAAAACAAGATGGCTGCCAGTCAGCCATCTTTGATCCACTTGTGAAATAAATCATCATGGACATGTATCCTAACATGTGTAATCTATGTACCAAGTTTGAATGAAAACTGACAAAGCATGTCCAAAATACACCATTTTCAAAAAACAAGATGGCTGCCAGTCGGCCATTTTGAATCGAATCGCTAAACCACTGCATGTGCATATGTCCCACATAAGGTACTAGGCACATGCAAAGAATGAACGGAATCGGTCCACAGGATTCTGAAATATGACGTTGGATAGACTGACGCACGGACGGTCGGGGACATGTATCCTAACATGTATGATCTATGTACTAAATTTGAATGAAAACTGACAAAGCATGTCCAAAATACGACATTTTCAAAAAACAAGATGGCTGCCAGTCGGCCATCTTTGATCCAATTGTGAAATAAATCATCATGGACATGTATCCTAACATGTATAATCTATGTACCAAGTTTGAATGAAAACTGACAAAGCATGTCCAAAATACAACATTTTCAAAAAACAAGATGGCTGCCAGTCGGCCATTTTGAATCGAATCGCTAAACCACTGCATGTGCATATGTCCCACATAAGGTACTAGGCACATGCAAAGAATGAACGGAATCGGTCCAAGGGATATGACTCCGGATGGACGCACGGACACACGGACGCACGGACGGACGGAGACCGAATTATAAGTCCCCGTTTTCGGACTTCGTACGAACGGGGACTAATAAACAAGTCTGACACAAAATTTAAACAGGTACACTAAAATCTATGCATTGGGTGTGTGAGTGTTATGCAGTTATGATTAGTAAATCAAAACACACAACCCGACATCTACCCACCCCATAGAGTTATGTTTGTCAAGTGCACCCCATCCTATTGGGTAACACACTGTAGCATGTTGGTCACCAGAGAACCTGGCACTTGTCTGTTTACTGTTCAATTAAATATTTTATGGAATTGTTGTATCAAAGATACCTTCTGAGAAATTTTGCAACTTAGCATTGCCAACAAAATATAAACATGAACAGTTGCACTGATTGGCTGCAAATTATACATATCATTATTGATGCTAAAAATAACTTTTTTTAGTCTTGAGATATTTAACAAAAGTGTTTGATGAGCTTATATTTATTTTTTCTTAAATTTTTACAATAATTTGGCAGAAACTGAACTGATAAACATGCTGAGTAAAAACCAAATTTGTGGGTTTTTTTTTTGCTTGATCAAACATTTCATTACAAAATACAAACATGCAATAACCGCTTCATTAAATGGTGTGATACAAAATATTGTATCTTCATCATTTTAGGGCAAAGCTTCTATATTTTCACTATGACAACTTACCCTGACCTATCGGTATCATATACATCAAATATTTCAGAAGGGCTCATCTCGATTGTTTGTCCCATCATGAAATACATGTAGGAGAAAGCGAACTGCATGTCATTCGAATGTCGGATTTTGTGCGAGGAGGTTGCATCAAACTCTTCTGGGAAGCTACAAATAAGAAAAAAAAAAAAGAGTACAGGCATACAGTGAGTGACACTGAGATTGAGGTCAAATGAGGTCAACTTTTGGCACATTCCATAAAATAAACTCTATTTACTAAGAATTTATGACTATTCGGTCCGAAATCTAAGAAAAATACATTTCCTGTTGTGCAATAAGTAAACAAAACTGAAACCAGTCAATCATTTTGAATCAGAAATTGATCTGATCTGAACAGCCTGATGTACAACTTAAGCATAAAGAAGAAACGCTTGATTTTGAATCCGGTCCAAAAAACGAAATGACATGCACCAAGGTACCATTATGTTCAATGTATGCAACAAGTTTGAACAACATTGAAATACACACAACTGAGATCTGGTTCATGAATCAGAGAACAAAACATGTGTATATTTATTGTATTACGCATGTGTAAAGTTTGAAAGTGATCTGTCAAGACACATCAGAGATATGGCTCTAGAACCACATTAATTAAAACAAAAATAGAAAATAGACATGATCGAGTTGAAAATTTTGAATCACGTCTGCAAAACGAGGTGATATGCATAAATTTTTGTACATGTACCAAGTTTCTACAAAATCCATTCATACACGATTTGTTGATGAATGTTTAGCACTAAAATGGCCGTCATTCGGCCATCTTGAATCAGATCACAAAATAAATTGAGATGTATAAATAGTGGTGAATCCGCAGATGGGGCATTTTTTTTGAGGGACTGGCCATATATTGACTTGACCGTTTCAACATGATCTCTTACCTCAGTTCACATTCCTTCATAATATATTTATCAATCATATGAGGCATATGAGCTGGCACTTTACGCGCATCAAACCCAAATTTCTTGTTATAAAGTTTATTCACATGCCTCAGTGAATCACCAAACGTGTCTAGCAAACGACGGCTTTGTCTTGGTTCCACATCATATGACGAGGCATCAACTTGTTGTTTCTTTTTAATCTGCAAAAAAAGTTTTTATTCATATACAGTTACATCTATATACTATTTTTGGTCATGTGACAATACTCTTATTTCCATAAACCCATTGACTTTATCCTAATTGTAAACTGGTCATGCTTGTATTCATATGCAGAGTCACAAGTAACATTACATAAGTTTTAAACTAGCATTGTATCAGATCTCGTAACTTGAAAGCATGTAGCGTAGACAAGGCGGTGTTGTGCACAAATGATTTCTAATTCTTTCAATCTATTGTTTTTGTGTCCAAAACATTCATTCAATTGGGAGTTACACACTCAAGCTATTTACTTGGCTCTAACCAAAACTATGGGTTTATATCTCAAAAAAGATTTATTTGGAGTTTTGATGATATTCCCTAGGATGATAAGCAACGCAATGGCTCACTGAGCGAGCAAGCTACATTGTTTTGCATATACCAGTATTTTGAACAATGAAAATTTGTACACCACACATTTTTCTAAACGTTTCTTTTCAAGTGGTTGGAAGTTTCAAGTAGTTTTTGCAAAATCTGAAAAAAACTATTAAGTTTTTCATGGGTGATGTACCGGGTAATCCAAAAAAGTGGCATCATAAACAAACGATTAAAATTCTGTTTTCTGTGAAAAGTAAAAATGGGGCACCTTAATCCAACGTCATATTCAAAATCAGCACCTTAAACAACCCTAACAATGAAAATGTTCATTTAGATTATGATTATTTATAATAAATTATTTAAAATATTATGATTAATACACAAGGTCAATATTGAGTTTTGGTGGCAATATATGAAAGAAGATCAATAAACAACAATACAGACAAATGGACAGATGTCAAACACTGCATGATCCCTGGATACCAACAGACACTGAATACATACCTTCACAACATCTTTAAACACATCTTTCTTCTCCCATGGTAAGAAACTCGTCATTTTGAAAAAATTATCGTTAGAATTCATAATTTTCTCCATTTCTTCTGCATCAACATTTGCAAGCGTTCTACTCTTCCAGGAATTTACTTGCAACGCTTCTTTATTTTCATCTTCCACACCCCTTCTCATTTCTACAGCGTCATTAAAACCGTTCAGATGCCTTGCGTTTCCCTTGAATGCATTTTCGTCATCATAATCAACATTCATATCCAATCGTCTCAAATTGGGACCAACATTTTGAGCATTTTGGTTATCATCGTCATTATCATGGTGATCTTCAATATTTTCCTCTTGTTGTTCATGTGACAAACCCTGAAGTTTCTGGTGATCCTCATTTGCTTCAGGTATTTTCTCCCCTATCACCTGATCCCGGACACCTTCATCAACATCTTTGACTTGTTTCTCCAACTCATCGCCTTTTCCTAAACCATCTAACAGCTTCATCTTCTGTTCCTCCAGACTTATTTCCTTACCCGCAAAACCTTCTTCTTTTTCCACTTCACCATTTTTAGCATCTTCTTCTCCTCTGACTTCTGGTTTCCATGGCAACTCTCCCGTCTTGAGATAGTTGGCAACAATTTTTCTTCGCTTTCTCTGATAACCTTTTTCTGTCAAGTCTCCTGCCATAATCAAATAATTATTGTAAAAGAATAAAAACATAAAATGTCAGGATGGGTTCCAATGTTCAATTTATTAGTACAAATGATTAACCTTTTCACCACCAGTTCCCTCTTTTCATCACTAATTCACAAAATAGTCCTGTTTATAGTCTGCACTTTCCTTCAGAAGATTGGGACAAAAACAGCAAAATTTGTTGAGTCAAAAAGTGCAGACAAATTTGAGCGAGAGAAAGTCTGGTGGTGAAACGGTTAAGCGTAGCACAGCAGTATTTTGTGGTGTAAAGAAAGCTTGAATTCACCACTGCCCCTTGTACAGACTGGTGCCAGGATGATGGTCCCTGCAAACATTTGGCTAGACCTGTTACGCTTATGATTGCTTCTGAGATAAATTTTCATGTATGTTGGTCGACTAAAGGGAGGTATTTAATCAAAATAAATATGGGCATTTTTGCACAGGTGGAATATTAACATCCTAACATCAGGCGGAAGATCTTCTGTGCTTCAAGAGAAGTACAACTCAAAACAAAATTCAAATATCGAGGTACTTTGCAACGTATGTGGCATCAAACAAATCTATGTTGAAAATGTAAATATTGGCAGCCATGAATGACTCTACTCTGACAGTACAAGCGGTATACCGTAGAAACACATTTTAACAGTCAAAAGGTTTTGGACACTAACCTTCTTCTACTTGCTCATAAAGTTCTTCTAAAACTAGAGACACTTCCCCAGGAAGTGACTTCAGTGTTTCTTCCAAGTCCCCAATTTCTACACCCAGCTCTTCAGATTTCATTCCAATTTTAGGCGCCCTGTCAATGAAATAAAACAATGAGGTATTTATTAAACTTTATTCTGTTTTAAAATGAAAAAAAAAAAATAAGATGTCATTCATAAAATATGAAATGTCAGTATTTGTCTCATATCACAAAAAATTCCCATGGCAATACTAGTACACTGCAGAAAAGATGTGCAAGCACATAATACAATCAGTATTGTGGTTTCAGTTTTCCTGAGAAAAAAACACTATTAATAAGTCAATGGCAGTGCACTGCGTATCGTGAATTGGGTACTCATTTTTTTGCTATTTTCTTTGAGATGTGAAATCCATGTAATAAAACTAAAACTGTAAAATCTGTGAATTTCACATAATAAGAATTTATTTTCGCCATTTTTGCTGACGAGGTCAATCAGTCACAATACCCTTTTATCCTATATTTTGCATTCAACTTATCAAAAATCTGCGATAATAAAATTTTAAAAAAAATTCTTTTGAGCAAAAATTATTTCCAGCTAAAATAAAGTATTTCACAGGATACTATACTCTCCTCACCTCTTCTCTGGAGGTATCTCCTCGAATATTATCACATTCTCATCTTCTCTTGACGTCTTTCGTGTTGTGCTATCTACTTCATTTGAGCTAGTTCGTGATTTTGCCAGCTGTAGTTTAAACTTCTTTTTCTCCTCTGCTGTCACAAACGATCCACTTGGCGGATTAGTGTTTACAGTCACATTAAATGTAATCTTAATGAAGAAAACATAGCAAAACCAATGAAACCTTGATCATACTTCTTTTTTTTATTTCAAAATTTGTTGTTCCAGTAAGGTACTAAAATTTCATTTCTCAAATGCTATTCATACTCAACAAATTATCTTTAAATAAATTCAGAGACTTCTTGAAAGTTTTATTAAATTCCTCTTCACCAGCATCATGAATGTTAGGTCTTACCTTGGTGTCTTCCTTGTTCGAGTCTATGCCATGTACATAGAATGTGAGCTCAGTTGAATTAAAATCAGGATAAAGTAATAAACTGATAAATTTGAATTTATTTGTGACTGTCGCAGCACGGACAACAGCATTATTGTCATATTTAGCATCTGTGATGGAACCACCGCCAAAAACTGGGGTAACGTTGAAATAGACGACCTGCAGACCTAGACAACAAAAGAAATAACAATTTCTGAAAAGTGAAATCACAATAAACATGATAATTCAAAAGATTGTATTTGCCACGAAGATCTTATTCTTGTCATGCATATAGGTTCCGCTCGCATTGGATTATGGGAAAATTATGCAAATTATCTTCATATATGGCCAGACTGTTATAAATAAGACAATAATCTTCATACCTTTGGGTAACGTTGTATGTGACGTGTGTCTGTCAATATCCACTGAGAATAACTGACGCACGCCCGAAACACCGCAATCACCAGAGTCAAAACCGCAGTCTGCAACATTACAAGACTGTAACGAAAGTGTGAAAAATTATTAAATGTTAACTGAAATGACAGTAAATTTTGCATAAAAAAAATAATACCTCAGTACATGAAATTATAAATAACTGCATTATTTAAATCTGTATTGATTCCTACATTTTATTAGCCTTTGAAATGTAAAATCATTTATGTCATACAAAAAAATTATGGTATTTACAAAATGATGTCATCACACTCCATCGTTTTTGTGGTACCTGATGGCTACTGCAGTAAATATGCTTATATTGTTGTATTCATTTGCTTAAAAATGATCCAATCAGTGTGCCTCTCTCCCAGGGAACCAATCAATTTACTTGTTGAAATTGACAATCTGTGATCTGTACTGGTCTTCATTGTTTTCATGACAGGCACTCGTATTCAAATCATAGTTCCAAAATACAAGTCTTGTTGATTATTTTGCCAGTGTATGTTTGAAGCGTATCAGAAGTAAATTTCAAATTGAATTTTGAAGTGAATCATTGCACTGTGATTGGTAAGTGATGGGAAAATTTGAATTTGCAAATACAGATTATTTATTATAGTCCATGAATGGCTACAACTATTGCAGCTTTGAATTTGGTTTGACACCAAATTTACTTGAATTAAATTGATATTAATTAGACTCTTAATTAATTTTATAACCCGATTACATTTAAATTGCAACAATTTTGAGGATATTTCACGAAGTCATGCAACATAAGTACCTGATCACAGTATCTATCAGCGACCCAACCATTAGCACAACCGGAAGCACAGTACACTGAAAAATAAATATATAATTGGCATATATTTACAAAAGGGCATTTCTCACGGACATGGTGAACCACGGAAAATAAGGGATAATGGGTAGTGGAGGCATTGCGATGACATACTTTAGAATAAAGAATAGGTAGTTGCCGCACATGAAATTGCAGCATATTACGCCCTCTATGGTGAAAGTTATTTTAACTTTGTTTTTAGTAAAATTGCCTAATATCTCAAACAAAGAAAAGTTATTGATTGTTTGTTTCAACACAAGTAGATGATGTCAAAGATATGATATGGGACAACATGATATTATTTATAATATACAATTATTGGGAATTTTTGACCTCTCTAAAAATGGCTATGGCTATGAATATTTATAGATTTTGCTTCTATTGATCTCGAAGTCACAGATTCCTGAGAGTATGACTTACTTTTTGATGGGCCGCCGCCCGTATCAAATCCCCAACCTAGGTCTCCATACTGACCACCAGGCTCCACACCTAATAAAACAAAATGCAACCAATTTTGAGAATCATACAACAATATATAATAACTAGAATATTTTTGACATCACCATGTTGTTATCTTATTTTGTCAGCATTCTCATTGATTTATCGATAGTTACCAGAATACGCAAAGATTTTATTTGAATAAAAGACGCAAAAACAGTTTCATCGGACAATAACAAATACAGCAGATACATGAAAACACTCACCGTCGCAATCCCCGCCATCCCATTCACACTCGGATATATTACACGATTTGTCACAGTAGCCATCTTTAATCCAAGACGATGGACAGCCGTCATTACAGTTTGGTACTGGCCACGTCAGGTACACCTAATAAATGAAGACACAGTAAATGTAACACTTTCACAGAGACATACTTTTTAATATTTTCCTTAATCTGGCAATTTGGAATAAAAAAAAAAATTATTATGTGGCAAGAATTTCCCAGATTATGCAAATGTGAGTCTATGAAAAAACTGATTGGTTACGTCTTAGCCTTTTTTTGCTACTGACTTTGCTATTCACAAAGCGTGTATTACATTCTTTTCGAGTTTTTGAATATAAAAACACAATTTTTTCTCATTCATGTTCATGCAACTATTCCAAACATTCAACTGTGCTCTGTGAAGTGAAATATTCATCACACATCACTATCAAGGTATTTTGGATCGAAATAAACAGATATTACCATGGACAGAAAAATTGAGATTGCTCCAGATGTTGTAAGATTATAACAAATAATTATCTACTTATAAACTCATAGTTGCTGCTGATATAGAAAGTAAAGTAAACAAATATCACCGAATAAACAGGAAGGTAAATACTACGTCAAATCAAAGTAAACACGTACTGCATGCGCGACTCAAACCAGTGCTCGCGTACGGCATTTAATCACCTAGCTTCACGTCACTAAACTTAGTTATTTAAACAAATTGTTGAGTATGTGCAGACTTTTGTTTACAGTCTAAAATGTATTTACATTTTTTTACATGAAAGTATGTACAGAGCAATTCTGACAATTCAATAGGATTAGTGTAAATTTGATCACATAAGTGGATCTACAACTAGATCCAGGTTTTTTTTAATATACTTTACATTTCCATTTGGCATGTACCCTCAAATAGGATGATTATTTTCAAGTTCAAGGTGATGGTCTACTTTACCTTTTGTCCATTAGAATGCGTGTAGAAATCATCAGGCCACACTTCTTTGCCAAACATTACATCATCATTGAGGTAAATGAACTTCTGAGAGAGACCGGGAATTTGATGTAAATGACTTTCGATCGCTGGTGATCCAAAAGTTGGTAAATGACTTTTGTTGGAAAAGATTTCCTGCAACAATCAAAAAATTAAACTCAAGAATTATTCTTGTATTTATTATGAACTTTTTTTCACACACACCAACTCTGATCGTCGTTCCCTTCACAGGGATTGAAATAGAATTTTTTCCCTGCAATGCACAGTGCGCATTTTGAATTTGAAATTTACCTGCACTAACTTTTAAATGCACCACTTTTAAAGTTTTAATAAAATTTACGGGTTCTCGATTGATGCGATCACGAAAGAATAGGGTTTTGTTTTAGTTGTCTTACAATGTTGGTTGAACTTAATTCCGGTTAATGAATATGAGAAAATGTTGTGTTAATTTCTACATGCACAGCGTGCACATTATGTTTTGAGTTTACTTGCACTAGTTAATAATCTATGTGCATAGTGCAGTGTGCACCAGGGTATTTCAAACCCTGCTTCAGCTAATGACATTTTTTTAGCAAACCTTGTGTGAGAATTCTACGGGTATCTAATTGTGAAAAAATATTTATTATTGTCATTGAATTTAGTCCTTGATGTAAAAGTTGTGGAAGACCGACTAGTTTGGAATAAACACAAAGTGATAAATCATGCAGATGTTGAATGCTGCCCTCTGGTGGCTATATAATTTATTCCTTTATTTTTAACAAATAATAAAGTAATATTTTGTTTGGAGTATTTCATCTAAGAACTATAATGATAACATTTTCTCATAGAGTAGGAATTGAACAATCTACGAAATACAATTTCAATTATTTTTTTAGAAAATACAAGTTGGTTTTTAGGATGAAATCACATTTCCTGACACCAAATTTGTGAAATAACTGTAAACATGTTTTTTCAACTTACTTCATGTGTAACGATGGTTAACTTTGGATTATCTAAATTTAACCATGAGGGTATCTGGCCGTTAGTCACTATAAAAACGTGCCTGACCCACGGAGCATACCTCTCTATCGACCGAATAGAGTATCGTAATTCCTAAAAAAAAATAAAAAAAATAGAAGAAATCATCACAGCTGTATGGCATGATTGAAGAGCATTTAAACTTGAAAGTCAATGATCATTGTGACAGTGTGCTTTCAAAACACATCAGCTGCAATAATGGAGTATTTCTGAATGTACATTAAATA